TTGTGACTGCGGATACAGTCACGGGAAGCAACGGCAGAAATATCTCCCACAGACAGGTATACAAGGGAACCGCGCATCTGATTCTGACTTCGATTCTGAAATCGCCCTTCAACTGCTGGGGAGTTTTGCCTGAAAACCCTCAGCAAAGTCACTCACGGTGGGATAAACGCAAGCTTCGACAGCATTTCTACGAAGGCTAACCCTGGCCCGGCCGTTAGGCACGACGCCTGTCCCCTCCCCCCACCCCAACGGCCGTGCCGGGGGAGTGGCCGCGCAAACGGCCGCGGCACGCGCTCACCATCTCCTCGTGGCCGGGCCCATCGGGCTGCGCGCCGCCGCCATAGGGGCCGGGGCTGGCCCGCCCTTCTGGGGTCTTTCGCTCGCTCGCGCCCTTCCCGCCGCGGCGGGCCGCTCGCCGCCCCCACAGGTAGACAGCGCCGGCGCCCAGCAGGATGGGCGCCCCCAGCACCAAAGCAAGCTGCCAGCGGGACAGACCCGTGCCGGAGCCGCCACCGCCCGGCGCCTCCACGGGCTTCGAGGCGGCCATGACTCGCCCACACAGCCGCCTGTGGGAGGGGAGGGACGGGGTCACCGGACACGCGGGGAGGCCGGGAGAGCGCGGGGCGGGAGAGTACTTCCGGTCTATTCGGCCCACAGCGCCGCCTGCCGGCTAGGAGGACCCCAGATGCTGCAGCGCGGTCCTAGAATCGCAGAACTGTAGAATGGTGCGGGTTGGAAGGGACAGAATCACACAGAATCACAGAATCGTAGGGGTTGGAAGGGACCTCTAGAGATCATCGAGTCCAACCCCCCTGCCAAAGCAGGTTCCCTACACCAGGTCGCACAGGTAGGCATCCAAGCGGGTCTTAATCTCCAGAGAAGGAGACTCCACCACCTCCCTGGGCAGCCTGTTCCAGTGCTCCGCCACCTCACTGTAAAGAAGTTCTTGTGCACATTCGTGCGGAACTTCCTATGCTGCAGCTTCTGGCCGTTTCCCCTTGTCCTGTCTCCATGTACCACTGAAAAGAGATTGGCCTCTCCACTCTTCCCCCCACACCTAAGATATTTATAGACCTGGATTAGATCCCCTCTCAGTCATCTTTTCTCAAGGCTAAACAGACCCAGTTCACTCAGCCTTTCTTCATAGGGGAGATGCTCCAGGCCCTTCACCATTTTTGTGGCCCTCCACTGGACTCTTTCCAAGAGATCCCTGTCTTCTTTGTACTGAACACAGTACTGCAGATGAGGCCTTACCAGGGCAGAGTAGAGGGGGAGGATCACCTCCCTCGACCTGCTGGCCACGCTCTTTTTAATGCATCCCAGGATGCCATTGGCCTTTTTGGCCACAAGGGCACACTGCTGGCTCATGGCCAACCTGTCATCCACCAGGACACCCAGGTCCCTCTCTGCAGAGCTCCTCTCCAGCAGGTCATTTCCCAGCCTGTATTGGTACATGCAATTATTCCTCCCTAGATGCAAGATCTACGCTTGCTTTTGTTAAATCTCATCTGTTTTTTTACCGCCCAGCTCCCCAGCCTTTCCAGGTCTTGCTGAATGGCAGCACAGCCTTCAGTCGTGTCAGCCAATCCTCCCAACTTCGTATCATCAGCAAACTTGCTGAGGGTGGCCACTGTCCCCTCATCAAGGTCACTGATGAAGATGTTGAACAAGATCGGACCCAGCACAGACCCATGGGGAACACCACTGGTTACAGGTCTCCAGCCAGACTCTGCACCACCAATGACAACCCTCTGCGTTCTGCCAGTCAGCCAGTTCTCAACCCACCTCACTGTCCACTTGTCTATCCCACACTTCCTCAGCTTTGTTATATGGATGTCGTGGGAGACAGTATCAAATGCCTTTCTAAAATCAAGGTACACTACATCTACCGCTCTCCCCCCATCCACCCAGCATGTGACAACATCATAGAAGGCCACCAGGTTGGTCGAGCACGGCCTCCACTTGGTGAACATGATCTCAAAGATGATCTAGTTCCAATCCCCTGCTATAGGCAGGGACACCTCACTTTTGACCAGGTAACCACGGCAGTGTAACCGCTTCTTTTTAAAGTTATTGACTGAATCTGTCATGGAAATCATTAAATATGCAATACTGGAACTGTGTATCTGTTGTGTATTCATGTGACTATGTCAACTCAGCACACATCAATAGGAAGGGAAAACTGACATTCCTATCTCCACTTACCCTGCAGAATTCAGCTCATGATATGGAGAAGCTGCCCCTGGTCCCATGTCATGCTCAGGTAGTGCTTGTCATCACATAGCAAAAATTTCCTAGCAAGTGGGAAGGAAAATGAATAGAAGTGAAGACATAGAATCAGAATCATAGAATCATAGAATTTCTCAGGTTGGAAAGACCTTAAAGATCATCAAGTCCAACCACAACCTAACCATACTACCCTAACTCTATCAACCCACCACTAAATCATGTCCCTGAACACCACATCCAGATGATTTTTAAACACATCCAGGGATGGTGACTCAACCACATACCTGGGAAGCCTATTCCAGTGCTTAACAACCCCTTCTGTAAAGAAGTTTTTCCTGATATACAACCTAAACCTCCCTTGGTACAACTTGAGGCCATTTCCCCTCATCCTGTCACCTGTCACCAGTGAGAAGAGACCAGCCCTGCTCTTGCTGCAATCACTTTTCAGATACTTGAAGAGAGCAATAGGCACATGTAGCACTATGAAGGAAGAAAAAAGTGCTGAAAACAGAAACAGTGGCATGGTTGTGAGGCAAACACCTCAGAAGCCCTGTTAATGTTTTCCAAAGTGAGTTTGGGTTTGCCCTGAGTGCTGATGATCTGAGCACCAGGACATCCTGGCCTCCTGTTTGCTACAGGGTTTATTCATTCAGCTGCAGCAGCGGCCCCTTTTTTATTTCCCACTCTTCCCATCTCTCATGGAGCCCTGGTAATTTGCTTGGTGTGATCTGCTGTCCTGCTGGACGCTCAGTATGTCTTGGTGCCTGGTAATAAACAGCTCTTTCCATGTGTGAATTATCGTAATTTGCCTAAGTATATTTTGCCAAAACTGTGAGATTGTGTCATTTTTCCATCAGCTGTTTCAGCACAGCAGAAGCACTTTACACTTTATGTAACAGAATAGAAGAACCTTATGCCATACAGTACAAGTGGCATATCTACAGGCTGATAGTTTCCTACCAGGATGGTCTGAATTTCTGCCACATGTTGTCTTTTATGACCCAGGATAGTCCCTTGCATATACCTTTCCTGTAGCCTCAGGGTGTACAGAAAAATTTAGGCTCTCAGAATATGGTCTGGAGTACTCTTCTCTACTTGAACAATCGGCCTACATGTTCTTTTTACTCAGGTGTATTTTTACTGTGCCATTTTGTAGGTATTCTTGTCACCCCTATCCCTTCACACTTTCACCAAGAGCACATCCTGCTGCAGGTTTGCTTGTGACTCTAAGCTCTAATGTGCAACATCCAAGGATATTCTGTGTGTATACCCATGTTCTACAGTTTTCTGTGCTACACATGGTCTCATTGCCACAGACAAAACAAAACTCACATAGGTATCTATTACCAATCAGTTCTTTCACCTGTATTATTCAGAATGAAGAGTCCTACATCTGAGTTATGGTACTGGGAGAGCTTAAGCCTCACATCTACACAGACTTGAATGAAACTAGAGTTTTGCTACTACATCCGTATACTGCTAAATAGATTAGAGACAAGCAGCAAGGTTTAATGCTGTATCATTGATTGCACATAATGCTAAACTGCTAGTAAGCTTTTCGGTATACTTTTGGACAGTGCTGACTAATATCTCCAAGACGATATCTAAGCATCAGGAGAACACTTGGCTACCTAGCACACACCAATGCTTCCAATAGGAAGTTAGATTTATGTAATTTCTCCTACGCAGTTTTCCACAGTTACCCCAAGAGGCTCCACATCCTCTAAACACTCCTTCATTTCCTTCATCTGTGTTCCAAGGCATGTAACACTGTAACATACTTCAGTTTCATGTTTTACAAACAACATTTTAATGTGCTACAAACAGAGTTTTCAGGTTACATCAGCTATGTTGAAATTTAAAATAAAAGCCACAGATATTATAACAAGATACTGGTAGCACAAAAATGTAGTGTAGAATGAATGAGTCCAGTCTAGCCACTTGGTCTCAGGAACGAGGAACAGTCCCCTGCTCTGTTCTGTTTTACAGTGTAGACACAGTGAATAGTCTACACCCAGTGCTTGGTTAGGAGGTCAGACTCATTCCTACTCTGTGTTCAGTGTGCTCAAGCCAGGCCCATCATAAAGCAGATACAACAGATGAAACTATTTTTGTGAAAAGCAAACGATGCACATTCATGCATCATGCCACGACCCAAAAATGAACAATTTTCTCAGGAGAGCCTTCGTTCCAGAGAGACCATATTTCCTGGACACCAAAAGGAAGCACAGAGGCAACAGAGATCAGCAGCGAGGGTAGCACGAAGAGGGCTATTTGTCCTGCCTTCCACAAAGTCAGTTAGGCCTCTGCAGGCAGATGTGCCAGTTTCTGACCACTGTCAATATATCAATTCTGCTTCTCAAAATCACAAGCCTGCTTTGGGTTAGAGTACACGCCTTCCAGGCATGTTACTGTGGGCAATTCTCCATTGGCATTGACAGCTGATGCACTCAACTGCAATGTATATGGAGTAGAGAACATATTTCCCTTCCTATCAGCACCCTGCGGCACTGTCACTGAACATCTCTGCAATGGAAAGATTAAAAGAAACCTTGTTGAAAATAGATGAGAAAGGATTGATTTTATGTTTAGACAGTGCCTAGGGTTGCAGTGGGTTGGGCTTTGGGGGGTGAAGTGCAGAAAGAGTGGCTGAAACTGCATCTCCTCTTCCTCTTGACAGAATAGTGTGGGGCTATTGGCTTACTGGAAGCCTTCGATACTGCTTTTCCTTGTCTGGCTGGGAGACTGCTGCAAATTTGGAGTGTCTGTACATGGAATATGAAGAGGATGATGATATTTCCTTTGCAAGATGGATGAGCAGTTTCTGGGGCCACAGCTTGATTGATGAGAATGAGAAAGAGAGTAGAGGCCACAAGAAACGTCAAACACGATCCCTTAGTGAAAGGAGAGCCTCCCTTCCGGTAAGAGCTGCGTGCAGTTTTCTGTGTTCATGTGTGTGTGGCTTATGTATAATCTTCAGTGCAGACATCCCAAAAGTTAACCCTAGAGATCCGCTGGGATGAGAATGCCTCACTTACCTTGTCAACTAGGTTCAGTTCCTACTGGCAGAAGTTGCTTCTCAAACTCAGCTCCCTCCGGAAGCCTCAGAGGTCTTTGGGATAGAGGAAGATGAGAAAACTTCATGATGATGAAAGACGGGACCAAAAAATGGAAGAAGAAGGCTGAGATAACTGCTGGAGTCCTAGCTATGCATTATGATTTTCTGTCTGGTAAAGCATGACCTGACAGAGATACAAGCACTTCAGAAATCTGGCGTGCACGAACTTGTCTTCGATGAGTATGTTCTCACATGTAGAACTACATAAGCCTATATACATTCATTGGATTTTGACCTAATTCTACAACCACTCTTCTCAAGGAAGCTGTGTGCTTTTCTCTCTGGAATTTAGCCGCTTGCTGATGTAACTTTGAATTTAAGCTAGAGGATATGGTCCCTCCTTGTTTAAAGTATCTGAACCTGAAAATACATAACTAAGTTTATTATATTATGAAGTAAATTGTTGAGGGAGAAACAGCTTCTTTTTTCCTAAACCATCAGAACAGTGGGGAAAGGGACAGGGTTCAAATGCCAAAGCAGTTTTTTAAGGTAGCTGACAACTAACTAATAATCAAAATGCAAAAAAAGCAGATATTCCCAGTCCTTAAAAAAAAAAGTGTAGGTACCTCAAACCTGTCTCTTTTTTTTCCAGATGCATCGATTGGCTTCCCAAAGTAATTATGTTTACTTACAAATAATTTTTCAGTTATATCCTAAATCATAATGTCTGCAACAAAGCCAATACTATTTTATTCCAAAGATTTTTTTCTGTCATGTACTATATTTCACCTTGGAAATCACCTTCCACTGAATCTGCCATGTTCCAAGCGGTGGGATTTTTCCTTTACATAGAATCATAGAATAGAATGACGGAATCATTAAGGCTGGAAAAAAACACCATTCCAACCATCCATCTGCCCATCATCACCATGTCCATGCAACCACATCCCACAGTGTCACATTCACATTTACACATTTCTTACACCTCCAGGAAAATTTTTTTCTTTTCTCAAAAATTATGGTTAAGAGGAGCAAAACAGAACAAAACGACCTCCTTACTCTTTGAATATCAACTTTATGATATTTTAGTTTTGTTCTTCAGAGAATTACGCATACACGATTTCTTTACGCCTAATACAGACTGAAGCATCAGAATGTACCTTAAATTGCATTCCATTCAGCAAGTTGCTGAATGCGGCTTCATTGCATGCTTGTGTGTGTACACGTACATTTAATTTGAAGCACGTTCTTAAATTCAGTTTGATCAAAAGCTTTTTCAATGCTTTTGCTAATGATAATTGTATCCCTGAATCAGCACTAGAACTTTAATGAAGCTAGCTTAGAGAGAAAAGGCTGTGACTTTTTGTATGATTGTTCAATCAGTTAAAGTTACCCTGTACACTTAATTATGTCTGGCCTTCATGTTAGTGCTCCACAGTTTTTTTCTTGGCTCAGCTATACTATGTAGCACATATAGATCTCAATCTCAGTACCAGAAATAGACCGTGGGAATGAAAAAGGATGATTTGTTTGGATTTCTTATAACAAATTCTGATAATTTTTTATAATAAACTATTTTAATAGAAATTTCTGATCAGTTGATAGTGAAGACTACTAAAATACATTGTGTTAAATCAAATCTAGAAATTATTCAATTGGGTGCACTAGTAATTCCTTAGAAACATCTTCAAAAAGTGCATCTCCTTCTCAGAGCCACGACTTGCTATTGCACCTAGATGTGCTCTTTAGACTGTTGTTACAAAGAATAACTACTATGAGAATCAAAACAATTACCAGTGCTAGTTAAATAACATCTTTCTTTTGTCAGAATAGTGCAATTAATTGAGAGGAATAATAACTGAGATCAGACCATGTCTCTTCTGTAAGTTAATACTTCCTCAGTGGATCAGTGTACACTTTCTTCTGTGTTGACACTGTAAATGGAGGTAACCATGGCTGTTCTGGTTACAATCAAATCGCAGAATCATGGAACCATTAAGGTTGAAGAGACCACTAACATTGCTTAGTCCTACTGCCAACCCATCCCCATGCCCTCTACATTAGCAGGTTCTGACTGACACAGCTGTTTGCAAAAGTTTCTTGTGCAGACAGATAAACTTGTGCTGCCCAAACAGCACTGCCAACACACTTTCTCTCATACCCAGGGCTGGCATACAGCCTATCAGCAGTAATGCAGTTCCATCCACATGAACTACATTTGCACCAACAGTGTTTTGGTATTGCACAGCACAGTGCTAGCACTATGGCACAGAAGGTGTTTTGGAATAACTCTGTAAATAGCTTTCAGCTATGGAATAGGTTGGTTTTCTTTTGGTCTTCTTTATAGTTTTTCCTACCACTGTTCTCACTTAAAACACAATAGCTGAATGCTGTGGCATCCTGTCATTTAGGAGCCTCTCAAAATATGAACAAAGCTTTGTAGAAGAACTCCTCTGTGATTTGCTTCACAGAAACTAACAATAATTTGTATTTCTTTTTCTCCAGGATCGTATCATACCTTATAAGACAAACATTACTGAGATGCGGTTCACAAAATGCTTTTGTTGTAATCATTCCCATTTTGCAGAGAATACAAACTTATATTCATCCCTCACTGGGTCACTGGCAGAACATGTAACTGGTCTCAGGAATTCTCATGCCAAAACAGGCTAAAACACTAAGTCCAGAATTCTCCATTAAAACAAATACATCCGCTTCCCTGAAAAGCATTAGGTTCAGATAAGTCATCACAGGCCTGCAGTGAATGTGGAAACAGCCTGAGGAGAACTAAGTCATCTGCTTTCATCTGCTTTAATTAATTTGCTGCACACTGCAAATTTCAGATACAGTAACTGATTCTCTTTCTGAAGCTGATGACTTTGCTTGATGCATTCTAGTTATCCTCCATCATTTCAGCTCAGGACTGTTTCCTATTTCCCAGGCATTTTGCTGTGGGGAAAATATTGCATGCTGAGGAGCACTGGTTAGAGTTTTACAACCCTATATATGGGAGAACTTTGAAGTAGACATTGCTCATGACAGAAAAGCAGATAAGAAACAGCCAAGGGTGAGAGCAGAACTTCTGACTACAGTTGAAGGTAATGACACTTATTCTAAACTAAAATCAGACTAAACATCTATTGCAATATCATTGCTACAGATCAGTGTAAGCCTAGGCTGAAACATTTTTAAGGAATTCATGCTTGGCTATAAGCTTCTTGGGAGGAAAGAATGCTCTGGGACAGAATCGGAATGTCAGATTTTCCAAAATATTCCTAGAGAACTGGGGTCGTTATGTAAACTTGAGCAAACAACAAATGCAACGCTGACACTCTGAAGATTAATTGTCTCACTGACAGCTGTGTGAGTCCTCAGATCAAAGCCAAAAGATGGAAGAAATTATCTTGTCTCCAACAGAAACTGAGAAATAGAATAGGCAAATAATATTGGCACCAAGTTCTTGAGGATTTTTTGTTTCTGTGCTTTTTCTGCATTAGCAAACAATCTGCTGCCTATTATATAAACAGACACTAAGCATGACTGGGATTACACAAAGGCTCATACAGAAAAAGGGGGTACTAAGGGGAGTGAGAAACAAACGCAGAGAGCTAGCAAAAATTCCCTATTGTGATATCAAAGAACAGATATAATTCTTACTTCCCATGCCTTTTTCCTTGTTTCACCTCCTCTCCATTTCTCCAGTTGAAGAACTACTCAAGGCAAATCCTAGAAGCCAGAGATGATAGAAGCTTGCTAAAGAGGCATCACATGAAAACAGGAGCCAGCTACTGGGGCAAGGATGGGAGCAGACATTGGAACAGCACTCAGAGGCTTTTGGAAAGGGAAGGCAGCAGTAGTGGGTGGACAAGAAAGCATGGATACAGAAAAAATCTCTGTTTCCAGCAGCTCCTGTGATATCAGGAAGGGAAGCATAGATTAAAGATATCTCAGGCCTGTTCTTACTTGCAGTGGTATCACGCAATCCATTTGGCACCAAATCTATGTATTAAACACATGTACTAAGTCGAAGAAATGGATCTTACGTAAACTCATTGCCAGAATTTATCTTAAATAAAAGAGGACTACTGTTTTCTACTAGTAATAAGCCATGAAATGTTCATTCTTAGCAATTGTACTAAGGCCTTTGTCCTCTGTCAGGTTGTGTTCATAAGACAGTAACGTGCTAATGTGTGTGTGCACTGTGAGAGGAAGCATGGCTGCTGTAATGAGATTACATGATCATAGTATCGTAGAATGGTTTGGGTTGGAAGGGACCTGTAAGGTCATCTAGTTCCAGCCCCTTGCTAAAGGCAGGGATATCTCACACTAGACCAGGTTGCTTAAAGCTCCATCCAGCCTGGTCTTGAGTGCTTCTGGGGGGGGGGAAAGGGGGCATTCTTAACCTCTCTGAGAAACCTGTTCCAGTGTCTCAACACCTTGACTATAAAGAATTTATTCCTAATATATAGTCTAAATCTGGCCTCTTCCAGTTTAAAACCATTTCCCCTTGTCATATGTGTAGCCGTACCCTAGGTTCACTGAGACAAATCTGCATTTCAGAGGAAGGCCTGTCTCTTTTCTGAACGATAGTGTCTACGTTAGCATGTGAACTACTTTCTTTTTGTTAAGAGTGTCACTATAATTTCATCTGTGAAGGAAAAATAAAAAGCAACATCTTTGTAGCATAAAATATTTACAGATAATGTAAAACAAGATTGATGAATACCATCCTCTGCTTCATCTGTTCTCCTGTTTTGTTTTATTTTTCTTTTTTTAAAGCCTCTAAGAAAAAATACCTGTGATTTTTAGTGTGAAACAATGTGTGTTTCCAGGAAACAATATACACTGATACCATTAAAACGACATAGAAGATGTTCAGCTTGTACAGCTTGACATGGCATGTGTACTCCTGTCCCTCAAGCACAATCCGATTGCTTTGGTGCTTTTCCAAATAAGAATACGATATGACCTTACAGAAATCACAGCAATATCGATTAGTGTTGTAACAGTATGCCTCAAAGTAAAAATAGCATAGCAGGAATCATTACCACTACTCTCAGCAGCAGTCCGTAATATCAGTTGCTAGAGTTAGCTTATGTCTGGAAATGAACTTGCATCATATGTGCTGAGGACCCTTTGGTGTTAAGTACATCTAGAAAATATAAGACTTATGTAAAAATAAAACAAAACAACAACAACAAAAAGAGTTTCAGGTGACTGTGAAAATGGGAAGTATAAATTAACAAACAGCAGGATATACAGTCCCTCAGTTATTGCCAATAGCTGCATACAGGAAGTCATAACAAGGGAGGCAAAACCTATGTGGAACTGTGGTATTTTGCTGGAAGATGCAACAGAAGTAGATTTACTGGTGATTTAGCACCTCTCATCAAGCCATTGTGAAAAGCCTGTTTCCGTCTTTCCCAACCTTAATGATTCCATGATTCTATCATTCTATCATTTTTCTATTAGGGATGTGTCCCTTAGTGCCCTGAAAATGCTCTCTTGTGAGGTCAGGATGAATATGCCCAAGAAACCACTAAAAAACCTGGAGCTGAACAGTAGAGCATCTTGTCTGCATTTAGGCCAGGCAGCAGATATAATAAGACTGTGCTAGAAATGGTCTCTGTCACACTCAGTTGACCTCAAAATCTCTAATAAGACCCAGAGCACCTGTGAGTCAAACTCAGTGTCTGGTTCATCTGGCCACAGAAGGGCTGGGTCTCTGCTGTTTAAAAGCCCTGCCTAGAACCCATTCCCTGAGGGCATGGCTGGGTGTTTGGGATTATGAAGTGTCCCAGTTCTTTTCCATGACAGTGGGCACACCTCACATTTCAAACGCTTATTTGGGTGCCAAAACTTTAGATACTCAAAAATGGGAATGAGTAAATTTCGCTGCTGCCCCAAGGAAGCAAGCTCTTTGACAGTGTGATTCTTCTGCACAAAAATAAGGAAAGATACAGAAGTCTGGGCAAGGTTATTTGTTCTGTAGTACTGTTTGGAGAGTACTCTGTAGTAGAGAATCTGCCCTGTGTGCTCTGCTTTAGAATTCAATACTCAGCAAAGACCTCTTCTTTTGCAGGCCAGGCTTTCCTCTCTCCATACAACACGACTTCATGCCTCTGCCAAAGGTTCATCTTCAGGTCATCTCAAGGGCTCCAAGGAATTTCAAGAAGACCAAGATGTCAAATACCACTGCCACAAGAAGGCAAGCAGAACACCTTCAGCAGACAGCTCAGGCCCAGAGACAAGGTCAAACTCCATGCAGGAATTTGCAGAGTCCTTTGAGAAGCAATTGCATTTCAAGAGCAAACGCTCAGTTTCTTTGGTAGGTGACAACTAGCAGCAACCTTAAGAAGACTTCAGAAATAAATAAATAAAATAAAATAAAAAATAAGTAAATTAATAAATCAGGCTAGCTTTATCCCTTATATAATCTTTGTGTCTTTGCTTGGGGAGGAGCAGAAATAAGCTTGAATTAGAATTTCTTGAATGATGTTATCCTTACTGTAGTTGAAGAAATGTAAAACTGCTAATGTCATTAACATGAGCATTTTGGATGTAGTGTCACCACCTAGACTTGTTCCAAAGTGTGTAACTTCAAAATGAGACACTGCACACCCTGTGGCAACAAGACAATATAAAAACAGATCTGCTTTGCTTTTGCTGTGATATCCAAGTGACTTTCTCATTGCTGTTGACCTGGTTTAACCACATGCCATGTTATCTGTAAGGCTGCCAAGCATCATGGTGTTTGAGGGATTTCTCTTCCCTGGGACTCCAGTGTCATTGCACTACCGCAGCAGCAGCCATTGTTATATTGTCACTGTAAGGGCAGGCAGCCAGCATGGAACCTTTTCCTATTTCATTCTTCTCCCTGTTATTCTCTCCTGAGGCATGATTCTGCATGGTTTGCACTGAAGGAGGAGCCAATAATGACCTTTCTGACAATTTAATGCATTTATTATAATGATACATACTATCTGCTGTATCACATACTGGAGGGAAGGGTGCTGAACAGCAAATCCCTTTTAAGTATTGGAAGAACTCTGTCAAATTCAGTCACCCCACTGAAAAGCTGTGCTTGAATAACTCTGAATAATTATCATCAGTAACAACAAATGGAAGTGTCCTTTATTTTTTCAGTTTTTTGACATTGTCAGTTTCATATGGAGAAGTAATCTTTATCTCTCTGTGCAAACCTTCCATTTAGCAGTAAGAGAAGAAACAATAAAAATCTCTTTTCAATAAATAGCATAATTACATGATCAGTCCCACAGTTACAGTCCTTGCGTGCTCAGTCCTCTAGGAATATGAAGAGTTATGGTGATGACAACTCTGTTATTCAATTTTTAAGATTTTATGTGAATTCTGTAATCTTTTTTCCTTTCAGGAACAACTCAGTATTTATTTCATTCAGAATTTCCCACTGCCTCATTTGCCAGCCCTCATCAGTAGCTGATTGTTTATCATTTCTCAAAAGACTTCTGCTAGGAAGTCTGTGAGCATGTCAGTTGTGTGATAAGTACAGTGAATATAATAAACTAAGTTTGACTTTGGTTGCATTTTAAAAACACGGATTCTGGAACCCTTATGTAATTTACAGCAAGGTGTGCTGGGCTATACTTTGATCTGTCTTTCAACTAGGCCAAACTATTAAAGCCTGTAAGATGTCAAGGACTGAAGAACCTTGAAGAACTGAGTGATAGGTATTAGAGATCTGAAAGGAAATTTGGGAGTGGGCTTAAACACGGAGCTCCAAAAAGAGTGTTGAAAACTCCTTTTTTGCATTTGGAACCCTACAAGTACTGTTCAAACCACCCTTTATACGACCAGCAGATTAAAAGAAATTAAAAGTGGAGAAAAGGTAATTTCACTTCATCTCCTTCCCTGCACGTTGCTTTTCTCTAAATAAATGTTTCAGCACTTGTTTTCAGCATGGTCTTTGTAACTGTCAGTGAGCAACTTTCAGATTTTAAAAGACGGATCATGTGAAATAAGAAAAACAAGGAATCTAAGCTGAAATTTCAGAGCCTCCTTTCCCCCTCATGTCTCTTCTCCCAAGCTTGCCTTTCAGGCAGACTACCCTCCTACCACCCAAAAAGTATTACAGCGTGTTGCTCTTTGCTGATTATTAATGTTACTGGCTGGGGCCATGAGTTTGAGCCCACTGTGTTAAAGCTGATCTGCCTGATATTTTGGTAAATGTAGTATTTTACTATATATTACTACTGAAATATCGTTATCAGATTTTGTTGATGATGTAAGAGTCACTTAATTCTATTCTATTTTTCTCCTGCCTTTTAGCAACTTGAAGGCATGAAGGAGAGAAGAGAGAGACTGCATCTGAGAAAGAACAAGTCTCACAAGAGAATGGGAGAGAAATCAGAGCCAGGGAGAGTGCAGAAAGATGAACACTCAGAAGCTATACCCGCAAAACACAACGAACAGTTCCCTTCACAAGCAAGCACTGAGAAAGGATATTGATGCACAGGCAGCTAGAATGTCTTGGGCTAATGAATTTTAGCACTATCTGTGATGAACAGAGGGAGCGTTCTTGTTTTGACTAGAAGAGGCTTGTTAGCTACAGCAAATCCAGAGCTGCAAAATGAAACTAGAATTCAACTGCATAATTGATACCATTTTACTACATTCCTGTCATTTTTTTCTCCAGTAGGAATGTGACCCTGCTCAGAGACATGGGGCAATGAACCACACCTTTAGAGGGTTTCAGGCAGATTTAGCATTGCAGCAGGACAATAGTGGATATGTTTGTTTAGGAGGAGAACACCTATGTATTACAGAGCTGTGGAAAGTCATTCAAAGCCATATATTTGTGCTTTAACTGTGAACAGAAAGATCGGGAAAGAAAATGTACACATAAATTATCATCCATTACTTGGCCCTGACATAGACTTAGAGATGGTTTGGAAACGGGGATCTCTTCTCTTTGACAGTCTCCCAACCCCAAATTTGTGGAGATGATAGGAAAATAAGCCCTCACACTCTCCTCCACATGTTGCTGTTGTCACTGTCCGTGCAATAAAACTCTTTTCTCTCCCATGTCCCCAGTCTCATTTCCCAATTCACACAACTAGTTTTTCTGCCAGCTTTTTCTCTGCTGTGGCCTTTCCTCCCTTCATTTTCTATGTTGTAGCTGTGACTCATAGCTGTAAGACTCTTTTATTACAACTCTAGTTCTGCCTCATCAAAATTTGAGCCTTGCTCAAACCTCTGGTAAAAAACAGAGATGATCAGCCTCCTGCACTTCTATATAATTTCTTCAAGGGGCTGATTATACTTCCCACAAATTCAGGGTGGTGGATCCTTTTCATTTTTTCCTTTTTTTTTTCATGAATTAAGGCCAAACAAAGGAATTGGGAAGTGACTCTGCCAGGGATAAGCAGGTCTTGGGAGTTTTTTTTCTGGCTGAGGATTTTCTAAACTCAGCTGTAAATCTCATCATCTGTAAGTAAGATTTCCTTCTATGCACAGGAATACAATTTCCATATGCTTTGAAACAGCTTTTTGACATGGAGTCCTCCCTTTAGAGAAAATCCCTGTCATTGGGAATAATTTCTCCAGGTTTAGTAAGAAGAAAGCCTGCTTTGGTAATAGAGGATAGTGAAGACTGATGGATTTGTGAGCCAGAGTCAAAGTCTGCTGGGTATCCTTCCCAGGATTTTCTGTAGTCAACAAAGGTTTTATTACTTTAGAGCCTTAATTTTGAATGTTCAACCTTTTAAGAGCTTAGGGCATCCTCAAAACTTTGTGACACTTATCTTCATTCTGGGATTGGTTTTGTTTCTGTAGGACTTTGAGGATATAAAAGAAAGTGACTGAACCCTTGCTAATGCTTGTGAGATGTTTCTTGCCTGGCAACATATATTACAAACTAATAAATCTGACTGAAAAAATATTTGTTCTTATGTATTGTTCCTGTCCTCCCCAGTCCAGATTGGATTTTCAGAAAATTCTTCCATTGGCCAAAACTTTTGCGCAGATAACTTTCCTCTTATAATCCTGATTTGAAGACTGCCTTACAATAGACCTGAATAGAATCACAGAATAGCTTGGTTTGGAAGGGACCTTAATGACCACACAGTTCCAATCCCCTGCCTTGGACAGTATTGCCACCTACTAGATGATATCAGATAGATAGCAGCCTGCTCTCACATCTCATGAGAGCTGAATGTCATGGCTGCATCAGTTTTGCCTGGATTTTGGAGGATCAACATCCTCCTCCTGTTTTGCAGCTACATTAACTCAGCAGACCCAGCAATATCCAGAATTTGCAAAAAAATTGTATTCATGAGATTCTGATCAGCAACAAATGTAAAACTAATGCACCGGTTGTACATCACACTTGAAGGAAACAGCAAAGAGAGCTGACATAGAAAGGCTTGAGTACTGGCTCTGAATTGATGTTTACTACCCCGTGAATGCACAGGCAAGCCCCATTGCCCCCAGGGCAGCCTATCAGGTCGGTCTCTCACTATATCTGCTCTCTGAAAGCAGCTCATGTATTTATTACTGAATCTCCTCTCTCAAATGGGAGAGTTTTTCAGTGTTTTTGTTGTTTTTTGCCAGCCATTACCCCTGTGGTGTAATGCTGGAGACAGAATCTTTTGGATGCTTCTTTTTGAGCCAGATAGCAGCACTTTCCAACGTAGTCCCATGTAGCTCATGCAAGCAGCATTACTTAGAAAGAGTTAAAATTATGTAGTGGGATAAAATCATTCTCCACAGATATCAGCAATTATTCCATAACTAATCAGGCATTTGGGAAGGAAGAAGGAAGGTAGCCATTCAAAGAGGGCTTTGATTTGGATAGCATGGCTGATATTTCTATTTTAACAGATGGAACAAATACAACTGGGATGTACGAGTAATCCAAAGGATTCAAGGGGGCTTTCATTCTCACATGCTTTTTTGCTCTTTCCAAGAGTGGGATGGCTATGAATTGGATCAATATCCAAACCTTGGATACAAAGAAGATCAGTTAGCAGGCAGCGAAGACAGAGGGATCAAAAATGTATTTTCCAGAATATTCAGTAACAGGTAACACAGAACACATATAACAGTTTTAGAACAGAGTGGAGTAGTAGGCAGCAGAAGCAGGTTGCTCACTTCCTCCATGGGCTGTCATTTAAAACTGACCTGGCTTAGAGGCCCAAGAAGAACATTTTGAACTTGCTGTGGTTCAAGGTGGGAGACAATGTTCTGGTAAACAACACCTCTTTGTGGATCCTTCCCACTGCTTCTAGCTAACTGGTAAGAGCTCCTGTGAGATGTTAGCGCTTGGCTATGTAAGCATTTCAGGAGCAAGATCCAGTTACAGCATATCATTTTCAAAGAGGGGTACGAAGATCTTCTTGTGTGATTACTTGATCTTCGAGGTGGGCATCTTCAAGGCAACATCCCTGGCTCTGAACGTACTCACTGTACATATATACAAAATATAAAATTAAATACAGGTATAATCAAATCTGATTATCAGAATTGCTGACGAAGAAACGATTTATAATCATGACACCTTGAACTTCTACAGCCATCTGCTAAAACCACTGATAAAAAAAGCAAGTCTTGAACTATTGTTCAGAAGAATAATGCAGCCAAAATCTAGCCCTGGAGACCACAGGGAAATAAGTACCAAAATCACATAAACTTCTTAGACACTTCCCTGTCAGTGTACCAGAGGTTTAGATAGCTGTCAAGAAGCAAATGCTATATTTCCTCATGATAGCATATAGCATAGTAGGGGGTTGATTTTCAATTACTCTGCTGTTTTACGTGGAATTGACATAATATTCCTATTTTTTTACTGTGAGGGTGATGAGTCACTGGAATAGGTTGCCCAGTTAGGTTGTGGATGCCCCCTCTCTAAAGGCATTCAAGGCCAGGCTGGAGCAATTTGGCCTTTGAGCAATCCAGTCCAGAGAGAAGTATCCCTCCCTATAGGAGGGGGTTGGAACTAGATGATCTCAAAGGTCCCTTCCAACCCAAACCATTTTATGATTCTATTATAATCCAGATACCAAACACCATTCATAATATTTATTGCTCCTTTAGGTTACTCAGCAACTTGATTAGTTAATAAAAAGTAATTTTGAGCTGAGGCCATTCAAGACTGATGAAAATTTTTCTTTAGTTAAAGGAGAAAGATTTGCATCCATGTGTTGTTTGCCACGATCATTGGAGAATTGACAGCAACATAGAATTTAACTGTATGCACAGTTTTCACAAAGAAGTATTGTGACAAAATCCCAGGGCCCTTTTTTCTTTAACTTGCTATGTGGAGATGAGAAGGGTTTTATATATGAGTTTCTCCAGACTTTGACTAAACCTTGAATGACGGTGGCTAAAAGTGATGTTTATGTTTGCTGGAGAAGCATCCCCAATCCTTCATTATCATAGAAGCTATGTAGAAGACAGAGGAATTCTCAGTATGATCATTAGTGGTTTTTAGGCAATTTTGCACTGATGCAAAGACCCAAGGGTAAAGATGATTGGCCTTGCTGGAGTCACTGCTCTAGCCAGTGTGTGTCATTCTTTTTATGACTGAATTAGTAAATAAAGGAATACTAGTGCTCCAAAGGAGCTGTGAGCATCTGGGTGTTTGCACATCTATGCTTCTGAGCTGACACTGCAGGCAGGAAGCAAAATGTTCATTTAATTTCTGGTGTAAGAGGGTACACCATTCTCCACAGAGGTAAATTAGGTGATATAGATGATGTCCTTGATATAGCTGTACTTCAAACACAAAACCCTAATTTCAATATTTGTTGGTCTGGTATCAAACAACTGAAAGTATTGAACACAGCACATTCCTGAGAAAAATAAAATAAAATTTTGTCTGTTCTGGATCTTGCATATGATATTCTGGTGATAACGGGGCTTCACCTAATAGTGGTATCCTTGTTTACTTAGTATACTGACTCAGTACATTTTTTTAGACCAAGGATTTTAATTTCTTATGGAAGCATATATCAAATTTCCTGGGAAATGACTTTGTTAATATAACATAACACTTAAGATCTTATTTGCTAGCACTCTTTTCCATTTGCTTTTAACAGTGTAATTCTAAGTGTCTGCTAAGGAAATCAACCTGTTCAACAGTTTGTGTCCATGCGCTTGTGCAATGTCAATAACAGACTCCTGTCATTTGTGATGAAAGAGCCAAGAACAAAGGGACCTTTAGGACTACAGAGAGGAAATAGTCAAGTTTTGATTCCAGCTATGAAAGAAAAAAGAAAAAAAACTTTACTCAATGAGGTGATCCATTACAAGGTTACTCTAAGTTTTGTGGCTTTTTATACACTTCAGAGACCAACTCTAAAGGTAAAAAACAACACCCAACTCCTTCTGTCCACATATGTTATGGAAACATGTAGTGTTTAGGGAAAAGGTTGAAATATTTTTAGAATTCTAAGGACAGTGTAATTAAAAAATGTATATGCATTAGCAAATACATCGTTTAAAAATTA